TGTTGCAAACATTGCAATTGAAATTGCAACTACATTTCCATTGCATTTTTTTGCAACGGATAAACTCATTGCAATATTAGCTATGGAAAATGCAACAGAATATGATTGTTGCAAACAAAATGCAACGGAAACACATGCGTTGCTTTTTCCGTTGCATATCATTGCAAGTTTGCAACGGATTGAACCAGCGTTGTAAATAATTGCAAGGACGTGAAATGCAACGGAATTTCGTCCATAGCATTTGTTGTTGCAAAACACAAATTGCAACGGAAATTGAACATTTTGCAATGGAAATGTGCATTGCAATTCGGCATTTTTCTTGTAGTAGTGGAGTAATGATATTCAAATTTTAGTAACACAAATATGATTAATCTAGAACCTAATTGATAAGATTGAAATTGACCAATATGATTACTCTCTTTTGAAGGGCGTAAAGATATCCAATTTTGTTTCACTTATGTAATCATCGTTAATTCGTTATTGCAATACTCATTGTAGGTATAGCTGCGGCCTGGGAGCTCATATCTCGGCCATAGCTTCAAGGAAATGTACGTATACAAATTAAAGAGGACCATTAACGGGGGGTTATGCATCATTTTAGTTCATCACATTCTAAGCATTAACTTTCCCATCGTTACAGATTCTTAATTGGCAATTATTCATCACTTATGGTTAATGCATTGGATATACGATACATGACTCTCGTATTCTAATGTCCAATCCAACAGTTCATGTACATGTATGTATTCACGTCATTATTGATGTTTCATTATTGACAAATTCAAGGGAAAAGGAATTTATCGATTCCTTTTAATTACTCCCTATAAGGAACTTTTTTTAATATGTACTACCTCCGTCCCATTTTATGTGTCTTAGTTTGACTTGGCACGGTTATTAATGAAGTGGTTGAAAAAGTAAAAGTTGTGGTTGAGGTTTGAGTATAATAAAGTGAATTGGTGTAGGCCACATATTTCTTTCCCAAAAAGGAAAGTGGACACTAATCTCGGGACAGCCCAAAAAGGAAAGTAAGACAGGTAAAATGGGATGGACGGAGTAGTATTATTTGTTGATATACTCCCCAAGAGCTAAATATTTGATGTAAATGACTATAAAAATGCAAAATTATACTCCATTTGTATCGTTAAGATTACCCTATGTCCCTATCTTTCATTTTTGGCCTGTCTTAATAAGATTGTTTCATACAAATTTGGTTAAATTGGTGAAATTCTAAATCATTCTTATTTTAGTCTTACTTTATCTATTGAGTAAATGTGAGATGGTAGTGAGATGGAGGTAGTATATCTCAATTGAGTCACTATATTCAAAATGTATGACATTTACATCAAATATACTTATATAGTTACTTGTAATGTATCACATTTACCTTAAAAGTATAGAATATAATGAGTTATTAAGAGTACTATAATCGTCCCATTTTATGTATTTTACTTTGACGTGACACAATTATTAATAAACTGGTTGAAAAAGTAAAAGTTGTAATTGACATTTGAATTTAGTAAAGTGAAATGACATGGATTAAATATTTCTTTGTAAAAAGGAAAACTGACACTTATTTTGAACAACCCAAAAATGAAAGCAAACGTGTAAAATAAAAGGAAGAGATTATAACTTGAATTACATCAATCACTTTTGTTCAATCATTTTAAAATTGAGTTTTACCTGATCTTGGAAATTGGTCCGAAATAATTTTAAAAAAAAGGATCACAACAGAGAATTGTTTGAAACAAATAACAAGCGACTTCAAAGTCATCACTCTGGGACTTAAGAATCTGATAGGCCAATCTAAGACTCGTGCATTTTCATCTACGAATCTCCAATGGATGGGTTAAAACAATTGAATTGAAAATGATTGATCTAAAAGAATTTAAAGTCCATTTCGATTGACAATTTGAAGGGAGTGATTGATTTGGCGTTTCACCGTTTAGGTTTAAAAGGGAAATGTTTATTGTGATTTGTTTGGCGGAAAAACGGAGATAAAAGAAAAACAGAGAAAAGAAAAGGAACACGTGTGGGGAATGTGAAAATGGAAATGAGAAATAAAGAAATAGCGGACATACAGGTAAAAGAAAGAGTTTTTTACAAGAATATTACTAAAATAAAATTTATTTACATAAATATGATTATTCATTACTATAACGTAGTGTTGTGGTAACTTAAGTTCAAAACTTGAACATGAACTACTATGATTTCATTACTACTCTAGTAACTACTCATATTTGTGTAAATCATCTTTATTTTGGTCATATTTATGTAATTATTTCTAGAAAAAATGCTTTTAAGTTTTAAGACAAAGAAAAAACATTGACAAAAGAAAAAATTGTGTCGAATAAGAACCCGATAAAAAGGAAAATGGAAGAGAAAACGCGAAAAAGAAAAAATAGATAGACTATATTGAAACTAGAGAAAACTATCAAATATGACCTTGTAGTATATACAAAAATATATTAAGTTTTGGAGCTCAAAAACACTCAATTATGACCATAAATTATTAAATCGTAAAAAACATGTTCAAATGTACCATTTAAAAGGTTAAGTCCATAAAGTCCATGTTTATCGGTTAACGTGTTTATTACGTGACAATTTATGTCTTATTTAGGTTTCTTTTCTCACTTTCCTATCTTTCTTTGTTGTTCCAAAACATTGAATCCCCAATTACAAGGACCCCATGCACCGACCCGGTAAGATACATGGGGGATGTCACGGTGACTCAGTCGGCCAATGGTGGTAGGTCTTATACCCGTGCGCATCAGAGGTCTAGCCCAGCACGCAGGAGTTGTAACCTCTGCACGGCTGATGCGGGTTTCAAACCTTGGTCATTGTTTCAAAATTTTCACCATTCAACCATCTGAGCTACCCATGCGAGCATCTTTTTTCCCTCAACTGTTGTGCTCTTTCCTTATCTCTGTGTTTCTTTCTTCTCCCACGCAAGCAACAATCGCCCCATCCTTCTCCCCCTATTTCTTTCTTATTTCGGGCAAATGACTATACGACCGTTAACCGCCCCGCCCTTCTCCCCCTCTACATTCTTCTCCCATTAAAGTAACTACGCCGCCGCCGCCGCCGCCCGACCCTACTGCATTTCCCTTTTCATCTTCTTTCTTTTTTACTAGATAAACACACACAAAAATACACAAAAGAAGAATTCAAAGTCTTCACAAATTTTATGACAATATACTATCATGTTTAAAATCCCATAATGCCAAAATATGGTAGTAGAATCTCAAGATGTCAATAAGTTACTCTGAGAGAGAGAGAAAATAGCACTCCTATTTTGAAATTTTGAATATAATGTTGCATTGTTTTACTCTTATTTCAATTCACACGGTGTATTATCTAGTACATCGTTTATTATTTGGTATTACCTCTATTCCATTGACATTGTCAGCTTAATTTGAATTAAGTGAGACATAAGAAAATTAAAAGGAAGAATTTGACTTTGCACTCCACCTTTTTGGTGATATTGGACTTTGCACCCCATTTTCAAAAAAGTTTGACTTTCCACCCCAACACATACCATTTTGTGAAGAAAATTTCTAAATAGGGTGCAAAGTCAAAGAAATTTAAGTGGAATGGGATGCAAAATAAAAAAAATATTCAAAATGGGATGCAAAGTCCAATATCACCACAAAAGTGGGGTGCAAAATCAAATTCCGCCAATTAAAAATTGTATTGATGAGATTTATGCAGAGGTGAGATAAATGAGCAAAATCATAAATTAATTATTTTAATGGGAATGTGGTAAAATTGGCATAACAATAAGAAGTTGGCAAGGTCCAACTACTTGAAGCGAGTAGATTTTTATCTTATATTTGAGTTAAAGTTAAAGTGAGAAACCCTCTTCATAACCACTTGAATGTAAAAATGCTCTCCATTTTCCCATAAAAGGTAATCAAATGTGACTGACACCTAGAATAGTAAGATAAAAATTATGCGGTTGAGACTTATGCAGACGATATTTATTGTTTTAAATGAAAAATGGCATACGTACAAAGACTTTTGATACAACTAAGTTAGAAAAAAATTTGTAGGGCGGGGGAATAAAAGGTAACTTTTGAATCGAACTGAAATAGGATAGTGCAATTGGGTTTGAATTTAATAGAATTACTTCCAAGGAGTATTAAATCGAACCAAAGCAAAATCGATAAAAATGGAATCCAATCGAACCGGACTAAGAAAATTCAATAAAACCTTCATATATTATTAAAAATTGACACAACCAAACCGAAATAAACTGAACATAACCAAACTGAAAAATAACAAGATTTTTGTTCGGCAATAATTCTTCCAACTCATTTCAAACTAAACCAAAATTGATAAAAGCTAAACTCAGAATCCATATACTCACCCTTAACTCCTTAAGGGTAACTATTGAAGAACTAATGGTACAAGAGACCATTACTTTTTCAATCCAGCTTGAGGTACACACTTTTCATACACACATTTACACACCCGTGTCTGTGTAGGGTTTTTTTATCTGTATATAGACACAACATATTTTCAAATACGTCGTGTCTGTATACAGACAAAAAAAACCTACACAGAAATTAGTGTGTAAGTGTGTGTATGAAAAATATGTAACAATAGCATTTTTGTTACTTTTTTTTCACTATAGGACAACATAATACTCCGTATCTTAGGATTGTGATAGTGTGAATTAAGTACCAACCTCTTAAATTAGGTGGAACTAAAAACAATGTATTATGAATGTGATTTGATACGTAAATGTAGAATTGTAAGCACTATGTTGTATTGTTGTACACACACAAAGGGGGACATTTATCCCTCGAGCTTGCCTTCATTGGATCCGGCCCTGATTATAGCCATCCTTATCTTATCACTACAAATATCTTTGTACGAACAATATATTTGTGAACACTTGCACTAAAAATAAAGCATAAATTTAACTTTGACAGTTTACCTACTATTCGTATATAGATCACATAGATCGATCGATTTTTGAGAAGTATTCTTCCCTTTTTCGTGGACAGATGCTGACATGCAAGTAGGGATGGGGGATGGGGCTAATAATAAGGATAGAATGGATCGGAAGAAACATAATCTGTTTGGGCGTGGTGTGAAGCAGTAAAGACTTTGATTCAATCTCCACATTGCCGTCGGTCCTTCAATGCTGTTTGTGGAAAGAGGCTTTGAGACGTGTCAACCGCTAGTCTTGTCCTCAATTTACACTTCCGCGTTAAGAGAATTGCGATCTTTGCACTGTTTGGGGGCTTGTCGGTATGTGATGAGTTTTATGGACGTTTTTAGCTTGAATTATTTTGACTCAATGTTTTGTTCTCGAGGCTGGGGTCCACAGTAATCAGGCTGAAACTCACTCTATTAAATTTCGAACCTTTATGTGCCTAGCAGGTTTCGAACTCGAGACCTCTCACTATTTTGACTCAATCCATCAAATATAATCACATCAGATCAAATCAGATTAGATCAATTTCGATCGTTATAAAATATGCACAGATCAAACATTTATCACACAGATCATACCAGACCAGATCAAATCATTTCAGATTAGATCATACCAGCAAAGATAAGTCCGACTAAAAATGTTCTATCCTTGAACTTGTGCTTTTTTTCCTAGAAGAAATAAAGAAATCACACATATTTACATTTTAGGTGAGAATATGTGTGAAAAAGAAATCATAAATGAGACTTGGAGTATAGAAAATAATGTGCTTTTGTTGTTATAGACTTTGCCAACTTTGAATTAGGTGAGATGTAAAAATAATTTAAAAAAAATGCATGTACTATTGAGATTTCTACCGGAGAGAGAAATGAGCAAGACTATGTACAAATTGCTACTTGGAAAGTGACAAAAATTTTCTAACAATTAAGCGAGGCAGAGGGAGTAGTAAAATACAAATAAAACAAACGTGTAGGGACACGCGTAATGAAAAAGTGAAAATGGAAATGAAAAATAAAGAAAATCAAGAAATAGGTGAGAGATTGACAAAAAGCTTCTAAGACACAAAAACATTGACAAAAGAAAAAAAATGTGCCGAATAAGATGTTGAATACAAGGAAAAGAGAAAAGGAGAAAAAAAACGTAGTACGGAGTATATTTAAAAAATCAACGAACTTAAAAAACACTGAATTAAGATACGGAGTACCACGTTAGTTCTTCGATAGTTACAAATTACAATAGTGTTTAGAGCCTTTCTCGTTTCCTCTTCTTTCTTTTTACCAATACAATTAAACACACACAAACATACATAAAAGAAGATATCACAGCCTGCATGAGCTTTATAGCAATATACTGTCGTGTTTTAAACCCCATAATGTCAAAATATGGTAGTAAAACTTCAGAATGTCAATAAGTTATTCTTGTTTAGAGAGAAACCATACTGTAGTTTAAATGTTACGCTTTTTGCCACTTAAAACTTTGTGATCTTTCCTTTTTTTATTATTCGAAAAACTTTGCCACTTTGCTTTTTGTCAATCAATTTACAGTTCTTATCATTTCTCTCAACTATTCACAAATCACAATCACACAACTTTTACATTATTATTTCTCATTCCGACCAGGCATGTTTTGAGAGACATAGGAAGTACATTGCTTTACTCATCTTTCATATAGGGGTATCTAATTGTTTATTACTCCCTCTGTTTTATAAAGCTCTTCTAAGTAGTTCTGACTTACACTTTAGGTTGTCCCAATTTTTTCTCATTTCCCTTTTTATAAAGTTTTGTGTGGCTAATTCATTTACATTTTTCTTACTCAACCACGACTATAGATTTCTATTTTATTTCCACTTTCGTTAACTATGATTCAAGTCAAATTAGGAAGAACTTTGTGGTATGGAGGGAGTATTTGGTATTACCTCTTACCCATTTGCATTTTTAACTTTGAATTGAGTGAGAAATAAGTAAATTAAAAATTGTATAATTGAGTTTGTGCAGAGCAGAGATAAATGAGCCAAATCGCAAATTAATTACTTTAATGAGAATATGACACAATTTTGGTATCACAAAAAGAAGTTGACAGTCCAATTAGATCGAGCAAGTATATTTTTGTTTTGTACTTGAGTTATAGTGAAAGTTTGAAACCATCTTCATAGTTACTTCTATTAAAGAGCAAATCAATAATAACAAATTCTCCCATAAAAGGTGATCAAATTTGACTTACACGTATAATAAAAAAGTAAAAATTGTGCGGTTGAGATTTATGCAGAGTACAGAGAAATAAATTCAATCACATATTCATTTACTTTAAATGAAATTGAGAAAGATTAGTCAAGATAAGAAAATTGGGCAAAGTTTAATAGAACGAAAGGAATAGAAGATTGCTTAAGTACGTTATTTTTGTTTCCACTTCAACACACTCGGTATATACTATGGTCTTACTCTAAATTGATCACTGTATCCAAATTTACCTATATTACTAAAACTCATGTCAATTTCCATAATATAACCTGATAAAATATAAAGAAAATAAATGTCCAAAAAGACCTCAAAAACATGTGTAGTCCAAAAATAAATAAAGAAGAAACACATCCCTTATTTTTCATTCATTAAAGCTTACACTATAGCTAAAATTGGTAATCATATACTATCTTTATTAGAAACATGTTTCATTTAATAACTCGCGTCTCTTGTCTGCTTCTCACCATTTTCATCTTCAGCCTTTTCCAACTTCTTCAATCATGAATTTTCTTTTTCCTCCGAATCCTGCAATAAGGGAGATACTTTTATATAATGTCATTACTATACTGCAATAATATGCTGCACTAGTTAATGCAGGATTTAACTTGTGTATAAAATACATGCATTGAATGAGTTTTTATTATTTTTTTATGGTTAAGTTGGTAATATGTTTGGTGATTAAGAAGATCGAGTGTGTAAGTAATTCGTGCCTTGTTGGTTGTCTATGTAATGCATTAACATTGACAGTAAGTGCATTAGATTGTAGGGAAAAGTGTCAAATAGGTCCTCGAACTTTCATAAAAAAGTCAATTAAGCCCTTCTATAGGAAACTCTGTCCGGTCTTCGCGATTTGGGACGGTTCCCGGTGGAATTTTTTGATGAATTTTTTTGAGCATTTTATTCATCAAGTCTAGTTTACTCATACCAAATTTCAGCTAAAAATTTAATCGCGAGCGCATTCAAATTAATTCGAGAACGCAAAAATGCGCAGTTATCTTCAAGAATTAATTTGAATGTGTTCCCGATTGAATTTTTAGCTGAAATTTGGTATGAGTAAACTAGGCTTGGTGAATAAGATGCTCAAAAAATTTCATCAAAAAATTCCACCAGGAACTGCACCAAATTGCGACGGCTGGACAGAACCTCCTATAGAAGGACTTAATTGACCTTTTTATGAAAGTTCGAGGACCTATTTGACAGTTTTCCCTAGATTGTATGGCATGAGATGTCTTCCTAAGGATAACAATAACAAACTAGTTCCTGTCATTACATTTTATTATTTGATTGGGGAACATAAGCACTCATGTGTAGAGTGTAGAGATGGCTTGCAATTAAACATGATCATACATTACTTATGTAGCAATGGAAAAGTTTTAAATGAAAACATGCATTGCACTAAATGAAAAAATTCATTACACTAATTTTGGCGACTTAACATAAAAATATGGAATTCATCATTAATTGGAGAAAGTGCATCTTTATTGGTATGTGTGGTACTATCAATCCTTTTAAACTAATCTCATGTATTACACATATAGTTAGCACATCACGGCCAACAATCTTCCCCTTTTTGGGTTAACAAATGATATACATCAAGCTATCAGAGTAGGAGTTTTTTAGAATAAAGCACTGTGTTTCCACTTTTAGAAGCAATTTTAGCATAGAACAAACAAACCAACTAATTCAAGTAATTGCACCCCCTAGTATAAGCTACTCTCTCATGATATCTACTCGATCGGTATATATTTTTCTCTTTTGGAGCAGTTAAGGAGTGATACTATTAATCCTTTTTAACTAATATCATGTATTACACATATAGTTAGCACATCACAGCAACAGTGCAACACAAGCTAAGGGAGCCAAATTCCCAAGCATGCATATACACATAAAGTTTGATATCAAAACAATACATCAATTTGAAAGGTTACTGGATTGAGACTTGTGAAACATGCATATTAGTATATTCCCAACCATTTTTGGATTTTGGAATACCCAATGAGTTTAAACAAGTGTTAAATTTTGGGAGAGACTCATAGCCTCATAGGTACAAAAACATTGATAAGTTTTGGGCAATTGAATCAAGGGTCGATTCCAACAGTGGAATCAACGGTTCACCAGTTGATCGTTGATCCTTCCGTTTACAACAAAAAAAAAGATTTAAGGTCATTTTGTCATTTTTCCATTGAATTGCTTGTCTTGAAATGATGACTGATTTCCAGGTCAAAGCGTGTAAAACAAGATTGTAATTTAATGATCATTGTCTCATAATTTAATTTCTAAGATCCACGTTTTTTAGGAAATGGCATGTGGGGATCCTTAAATTCGGTTTGTTTTCTTTCTTATCTTTGCTAACCAACATGGTTTTTACCCATCATGACGAATTCACGATGATTATACATTTATACATAGCTATGTACAGCAATAATCTATCTTCAAACAGTTGAATATTGGTATAGAAATGGATGGCCAAATGAAGAACTTAAAACGTGCGCATACGTAACTTCAATAATAACTCGTTCAAAAGTTGCCAAATGCCAACGTACTATGGACCCCGGCCTGGAGCTTTCATCTTCATTTATGAACAAGATCAGATACCTTCACTGTTTTGGATGAATGGATGATGTGTACGTTGAGTGAAACACGTGATGACACCGTTAGTTTGGGACACGACTTGATGGGTTCTCATCAAAGTTCAGTTCATCCGTACTCTCACCCGGTCCGCCCGATCTGCATTCAAACATAGCCAACTCTCTTCTTGATGACAAATTATAATGTATATCTCCGGTTGGACAGTATTGGGGATCCAAATGATGAGCGAGCTAGC